AGCAATAGGACACACGTTCTGGTCTGTTTTTATTAGCTTCATCAGCTGAGCCGATACCCAAATGCGCCAGCAAACGCTCTGTTTAAGGCCCGACCCAGCTCTGCCTTTCGGTGCCGGCCGAGGCCACTGCCTCGCTGCCCCGGCTGGCGCTCCCCTGGGCCCCCCCCCGCCGCCGCGGCGGCCGATGGGGGCGGGGGGCGGGGGGGGCCGCCCAGGGGGGGCACCGAGGCAGTGGCCTCGGCCGGCACCGAAAGGCAGAGCTGGGTCGGGCCTTAAACAGAGCGTTTGCTGGCGCATTTGGGTATCGGCTCAGCTGATGAAGCTAATAAAAACAGACCAGAACGTGTGTCCTATTGCTGTGTCCCCAGAAACCCCCCCTCCGCCGTGGCTCCTAAGGAGAACGTAGATTCACTTGGGTGGCGCTGCCTGAAAGAGGTTGCCCAGACAGATGGAGCCCTCAGCTGCCCTCTCCTGCCCGGCGCGTCAGGGAGCCTCCTTACCCACAGCCCCACGGCCAGAACAAAGACGAAGTACAGAACCAGGACAACAATATCCACGGCCTCCAAGGTCTGCTGGGGAAAGGCCTCCCAGCTGCGCGGGGGGGCAGACGGTGGGCTGGTACCGCCGGGCTCCATCGCCGCTCGCCCTGGCCGGCTGCCTCGCCTTCCCGACGCGTGGATCTGCTCGGAGAAAAAGGGAGCGCGTCGCCGTCCTCCTTCGGGGAGAGCAGCGCCCGTCCTGGGCGACGCACTTGCTCTGAGCTGGAGTCCAGCAGGAGTCCTGTTTGTTTGCTGTTGCAGGAAAAAGATATTGTGGCGGATTCTAAATTAGACAGACGGGATGCAAATGCAAAGGCCACTTTATTTGCTTTTGGCCAGGTTTATTTGCTTTTCAATCCAGCAAGAGAAAAAAATAACAACTCCAGGAGAACAGGACCGTTGTTGGCCTGTTGAGAGCAAACGCCTCGGTTTGATTAGTTCACACCCCTGGAGCTCAGTTACACCATACCAAATGTAATCTGCGGATCAAAGCTGTGCCACGAGGAACAAACGCTCTCCGTCCGTCTGCAGGGGAGCCACAGAAACTCATCCGTTCTAGCCCACCAGAACTGTGACTTTCCTGAGTTAGCAAAGTCGCCAGGCGTCGCTTTTTAGAGGCAGTGGCCAGCCTTTGAAGAGCCATGACCAGCTGGACCGAGAGCCCTCGAGTCCAGTCGGGTCCAACCACCTCTCAGGGCGGGAACTGAAGCACCCCGACCCCCCCCCCACCATCCAGGGAAAGGGACCCGCCGCCCCTCGGGCCATTGGTTCCTCTCCTGAGCCGCTGTGGCTGTTAGGAAAGTAGACAATACTGGATTAACAACGCCAGGTCTGTTTCTAAGGGATGACATAATCTAAAGCCTTCCCAGGGCTGTGGGAGAGTCAGCTCCAAAGCATGTGAAGCAATAATAAAAACTTTATCCAAACATTTAGCAAACTTCTTCCCCGACTGATTTACCTTAAAGTAGGTAGAGGAAACCAGGGAGCCTTTTTTGCTAGAGTCAATATTTTGCTAAAGACTTTGGGGTCCAATGAGTTGTCAAGATACTTACTCTTCTTCCTTTGTGCCAGGATCAGCTCCCACCACAAGCAGACGCCTTATCTGCTGGGTCCGAGTGAGGGAACAGAGTCCGGAAAATAGCTCCTCGGAGGCTCAGCGGCTCTTCCAGTCGTGTGTTGTGGGACGTGGGATTCTGAGAGCAGACAAACAAGTTTCTCTCTGTGGCTTAAGGAGGTGCTTGGAGGGTGAGGTCGGGAGCCTTGCAGGTTGATGCAATTTTTAAGACTGGCAAAGACGTCTTTACCTATCTGTGGCCTGCCTGGCACTGGAGGATCCCCAAAGTGCCAGCTCCATTAGGGATTCTGGAGGCCTTGACTGCCCGGCAGATCTGAAAATATTCAGGAAGGGGGCCAAAGAACACCATCGCTTCAGGCACATCGCTCGCTGCCAGGACAGGGGCCAGAAAAATGGATCCCTTTGGCATCGTCTCACTGAGGAAAACTACTAGCAGAACTGTTCAAGGTGGAGCCATCCTAGGACGGGCAAGGGAAGCTACAGCTGTTGGTGGGGGAAATGGGCTTGGGGCTGATCTAGCTGGACAGTTAATCCTCCTTCAAGAGCTTTTGGGTGAATAATGCAAACTCTCCTCTTGCAAGATCATCTCATACCCCAAAAGGTTTATGACATATAACCTCAAAAATAAAAGAAAGCATTCTTTCATTTGAAGCTGTTTTTGAATGTGAAGTTCTTTGCTATCAAATACGATTTCACTTGTTTTCACTTCTATCAAACAAAGGTTTTTTTTAATGCTAAGCTCTTGCCTGCAGCAGTTTTTACAGTTATTTAACGTTTGGCAACGAAGAAGAGGAGGGACGGGGGAGGGAGGAGCCCTCCCTGCCTGGGTCTCTGGTGTGGGGAAAAACAGATTTAACCCATCCCTATAATCTGCAAAGATCAGCCCTGCTTGGCAGCCCCGAAGGCAGCCAGTTCCTGGGGGCTCTGCTTGTCGCTGTCAGCACTGCCCCCTGAATCACGGAGCCCAAACGAAATGCCTAGCCAAGTCGGAGGGTGGACAGCAATGCCTGTCGGTCTGGCCCCACACCTGCCCTCTTGGAGGTCCTCCCTGTCCTGGCACGCAGGAAGGTGAGGAGGTCCATCAAGTGTGATCAGAGCCTTGTTCTTCCTCAGCTGCCTGGTTGAGTCGGGGAGGCCGTTCTTGGCTAAGGACAACCATGGCGTTGAAAGGAATCACCTGAATGGAGAGAGTCAGCAACCCATGTGTCTGGTTCGTGGCTGCTGAGGAAACCAAGCCTGACCTCTCTTGCCGTTGCGTTTACACTTTCCTACCAACCGCGCCCCCAGGCCTGGCAGCGATGCCACCCACGGACCTTTTGAGATGGACCCCAAGTGTTCAAAGAGGTCCCTACAGATCCAAGCCAGGGGCAGAGACTTACCATGCTCCTCGGGGGCTCGCTCCCATCTTGTGCTCAGGGCGAGCAGCCTTCTGCCAGTCCACAGGGTGGCTTCCAGATGCCAGCGGAGAGGATTCAATGAGGCTCTTTTACATGTTCACAGGCATGAAAGGGGAAATTTATAGGCAGAGCTCTTTGATTCATTGGCCCTGCCTTTGATGCTGCTCATGAGTCGGGCTGGGCTGCTTCCTTATCGGGCTTTGGGGGTCAAACTCCAAAGTATCTCATCCCTCCCTTCCAAAAATAATCAGGGCAGTAGAAAAAGAGAGAGAGAGAATGGAAGAGTGTTGTAGAAACACCGAGGACGGGAAGGAACCTTCTCCCAACAAATGTCCGCATGACCTCAAGCAGGCAGGAAACTCCTACAGTCCTGGAGGACCACTTGTCCAGATCTTTCCACTCAAGGCAGCAGAGAATAACCTGATTTCTGTTTACAGTTCTCTCAACCTCAGCCTTCACCACATCGTGCAAGAAAAAAAGGAAATGGTTACAGATCTCCCTTCCAGCGTTGCTAGCAAGCTAGCAAGGACATACAGGTAGTCCCCAGTTTAAGAACGAGTTCCGTTCCCAAGGTCTATCCTTGAGTCAAATTTGTATGTAAGCTGGAATAAGTAGCATTATAAGTAGTGTTGTGTAATGAACTTGAACCATTGTGCATTTAACTCGACTCATTGTGTATTTAACTCGAATTTTGCTACAATAGGCTCCATTCTTAACTATGGGTCATCCTTAAACCAGGTGTTCTTGACCCAGGGACTGTCTGTAATAGGTTTGACTTGGATTTTTTAACGTTGCTTATCAAGTTGTTGTTGTAACAGGAAGAGGAGTTTGTATCTGTGTATTGCCGCTCTTGCACTGAATGGCACACGGTTCCACTTCCTTTTTGTCGAAGTCAGTCTCGTTCAAAGTCATGTTCACATGGTTTGATCCTTGACTGCGCACTGAAAGGGCTTGCACAACT